TCATTGTTGTTTGGCGGCCCGGGCTGGGGATTCGAACCTGCCACCTTAGGTGTATGTGGCTGGCACCTTAGCTGCTTGAGCCACAGGTGCCGAGCCACTACGAAAGTTTTGAGACAGGCTGTGTTACAGTCCATTATTTCACTTCCAGGAAAACACCATTGACAGCTTCCTGATTTCACCTGTGCAAGTTTCAACCTGGGAGCTTATCCATGTTGCTGGGAGGGCTTCATTGTTTCCCTCTAGGTGGCTTTTACATTTCTTGATTTGGGGTATTTCAAAATTCTCATAATGACCCACCTATGTGCGTGTCCCTGTGTGTTTGTGGGTGTCACCTATGTGTGTCTCCCATGTGTCCCTGTATGTGTGGGTTTCCCCATGCGTGTGTCCCTGTGTGTTTGTGGGTGTGCCCTGAGTACGTGTGTGTCTCCACACACACTCACCTGCTCAAGCTCTTCATCTTCAAATGTTCCATCACAAAGGCGGCTCCGCCGCCCGGTAGGTCAATCACCTTCAGTGGCCGCGGTGCTCGCACCAGTCCTGTGCCGCGCAGGGCCTCCAGGCTGGCCGCCTCCCCCTCGAACATCTGCCGGGCCTGTGCAGGGGACACGGCTGTGAGCCTCGTGAGTCCCCCAGCTCGGCCCCTGCAGGACTTGGAGCCAGACAGAAACCATCTTGAGGGACCCAGGAAGACCTGGAGCCACTGACACCAGCTAGGAGGCAGGCATCCGGCCAGGTGGGGTGCAGATGGCCTCTCCGGACACAAAGCTGCGAGGATGAGGCTGAGCCTAGGGCCCGAGCTCCGCTGTTCTTGGGGAGGAAGCAACTGCTTTTGGGCCCGGGAGGCAGCAGGGCGGGCGGGCTGGCTTTCCCACCTTGCCGGCCCTCTCTGCCAGGGCATCAGCAGCATCTGGAGACCAGAGAGCTGGGAAGGATCCCCACACTTAGAGCCCCCAGGGGGACCCAGGCGCCCTCCTGTTTCTAAAACATTATCACACGTATCCCAACTTCAAATAAGGTGGACTCCCACCCACATACAGCAAGCTCCCGCGACAGCACTGGTTTATTAGGGTGAGTTGGGAGCCCCTGCCTTCAAGAACGCGTGCGGCTGTAGACTCCTCTACTCCAACGCACCTGCCGCCGCGCACGCGCCTCAACTCAAAACTCCTCCAGCCGGCATCAAACCCCAGAACGTGCAGAGTAGAAAATACCCGGCCTCGGCTCGGCGCCTATAGCTCAACCGGCTAAGGCGCCAGCCACGTACACCTAAGGTGGCAGGTTCGAACCCCCAGCCCGGACCCGCCAAACAACAATGACAGCTGCAGCCAAAAATTAGCCGGGCGTTGTGGCGGGCGCCTGTGGTCCCAGCTACTTGGGAGGCGGAGGCAGGAGACTCGCTTGAGCCCAGGAGTTGGAGGTTGCTGTGAGCTGTGATGCTACGGCACTCTGCCCAGGGGGACAGCTTGAGGCTCTGTCTCAAAAAAAAAAAAAAGAAAAAAAAGAAAATACCCGGCCTCAGACCCTTCCTCCGTGCCAGAGTCCTGCTGCGCCCGCGGTGAGGTGAAGCCTCCGCCCCAGCGGCCTCCAAGGCCAGCGCGAAGCCTGAGCTGCGCCGGGACCCAAAACTCCGAGGGGCCTCGGGCCGCTTCCCACTGCCGAGGAGGACACTGGCCCAGAGTGGAGCACGGGACCCCACGCCTCACCTCCCCCAGAGCTGACGGTTAGAAAAAAAAACACCCCAAATCTGGTGCATGGATGCAAAGCGGTGAAAAGTGGTGGCGCCGCAGAGACAAAACCTTGGGTCCCCACAGAAGGCTGGAGCCGAGCTGACCCTGCAGGCGACAGAGCCGGCGGTCGGGGACTCAGGGCCAGCGCGGGGACCCCCCACACACACACACGCAGCCTCTGCCCGCCGGGGCCGCACCTGCGTCCTGCGATTGACCTTGACGAACACCGGGCCCGCGTCGGTGTCGTAGGCCCGGCCTTCGCTGATGTAGCCACCGCCTGGGCTGCCAAAGGCCCGCAGGGTCTTGGTGCGCAGCTCCGCACGCAGCAGCTGCTCCATGGGGCCCCCAGGCCCGCAGCCACTCGCAGCGAGTGTTCAGAGCGTCCTGCGCTAGGCCTCCCGGCCCGCGCTCGCCCCGCCCCCCAGCCACACCACACCTCGCGCGAACCCCCACCCCCAATGCGTTCCCCTGCGTGCCGCCCCCTAACACATCCCCCCGCCACACCCCCAACTCCCCGCGTCCCCCCCGCCCCGCCCGGCGCTCCTCTTCGGCTCCTGCGTTCTGCCAGTAGCTCCCCGACTTCCCGCGATCCGTGGGGGGCCTGGAGGAAGGGGGCAAACTCCCACCCCGCAGGACCCAGCAGGCCAGGCTCCAAGCCACAGGGCTCAGGCAGGCTGGGTCCCACACTGTCTGCACAGGGATGGGCCTCTCTGTGCCTCGCCCTGGCGGGGCCCGGGGGACCAGGTGACCTGAGAGATAGCGGCTGCTGCCACCAGGAGTGGGGTCCGCGATTAGAGACACACACGCCCACGTGTGCGCAGGGGAGGTGGACACAGAGCCCAGACTGCCTGTACTGCACCTCCCTTCACTCTTCCTCACTGATCCTTAGGACCCTGCCCAGCTCTGCCTCTGTTTATTTAGTCCAAAGTGAGTTTCCTTTACCAAGTAAGAGCCTAGGAAGAGAGATTTGGAGCTAATAATGCCATTTATTGGAGCTTTTACCATGCTGGGGCATAAGTGAAAAGTCAGCTAAGCCTGGCGGCCATCCTGTGGAAGGGCCCATTCCTAGCTCCCCCCTTCCAGATAAGGAAACTGAGGCACAGAATGATTAACTTGCCCTGAGTCCCAGTGCTGGAAAGTGGCAGGGGGCCTGAAAGTGTGTGTGACCTCAGAACCCATAAGCCTCCAAAAGCAGCCACTGGCAACAGAGCCACTGCCCACCCAGAACGCCCACCCCACACCACACTGCTGCCCATGCTTTGCCTCTGGCTGCCCAGCTGCTAGCCCTGCAGCTCTTTTCCTTCATAAGATAATCCCCTTAGGTTGGAGATGCCTAAGTGGTGAGCAGTCTCTGAGAAGACAGAGCCAAAGGCACTTTGGCCAGACTTCTGTGAGTTTTAACCAAGCTGGTTTTCTGGAAGGGCCAAAGGCTCTGGGAGCTGGCTGTTCCACGGCCTACTGGATGGCTCTAACCCTGAAATGACTGGAGCCAGGGCTCAGTGTCACTGTCAGGCAGGTCACGAACCCTGTGGCCTCAAGGTGTGGCCTGAGCATCCCTGAACACAGGGAAGCAGAGGCTTCCAGGGGAACTGGCAGAAGAAACAGCCCTTTCTGATCTGGCTTCAGAAGCCATTGAGCATCACCTCTACCTTCTCTAGTTGGTTCCTGGAGGTCAGTGGAGGACAGGGTGTTGGCCCCACCTCTGGACAGACTGAGGCAGAGCACTACCGAGCAGCAGGTGGTAGGGGGCCCACCATCCCCAGCTAGCCCTTAGCCGGAAGCCCATCCTGCCATCTGTTCTCTTTTTGGAGGCTTTTTGGGTCTTCTTTGTGTCACCAGGGTTTGAAAATTGCCCAGGGAGGTATATGGGGTGAGTCTACTGTCATCCTCTGGATAGGCCTGGTAGATCATTTTAGGATGGAAACCTGGTCCTCCAAGCCTGGGATACTGGCTGGGGTTCTTCTTTTTTTTTTTTTTTTTCTTGAGACAGAGCCTCAAGCTGTCGCCCTGGGTAGAGTGCTGTGGCATCACAGCTCATGGCAACCTCCAACTCCTGGGCTCAAGCAAGTCTGCCTCCGCCTACCAAGTAGCTGGGACTACAGGTGCCTGTCCCACTCTGTTAACAAGCTGGCCTACCTGGCTTTGGCCAAAGGGGAGCCCAAGAGGGGAAGGAAGGAAAGTGAGAACAGGGCTTTAACCTCTGTGAAGGCCACACCTTGGGGCTGAGTGGGCACTGCCTAGCTGCCAGGGCTTCCCCACAATCTGCCCATCTATTTCCCAAGCCCTCCTTTGAGGAGGCTCCAACTCAAAGGTGCCTGGTCAGCCACTGCCCTGGCTTTCATCACCTGAAACGTCCTGACACAGAATGATATCCAGGGCCCATCATGGGGTGTAGTCAGCTGTGCCTGTGACTAGCACAGCCCAGAGAGGGTTCTGTCAGGAGAGGGAGCCCAGCCACCCTTCCGCAGCCTGGACCACCACCCCAGGAACGCTGCCTCATGCCCTCCAAGCCAAGCAGGGCCTGTGGGCAACTCTGCTGGGAGTCTAAAGATCCTTTGCCTGGCCAGCAACTCTTGGTTCCTGATGCTGCCCAGGCATTTGCCTGCTCTGTGGGCTTCTAAGCAAGGTGATTCCTGTGAAATGCAGGAATATGAAATGGCTAAGTCTCCTCTAAGGCTAAGCAAATACATATTCCATCTACTGTGTCCTGGCCGCTGACCTCTCTGCTCCTACATGACCAGAAGGAGCACCCTGGGCTGTGCTTGTGAAATGGTTTTGGTTGTAGAATAATAGCCTCTGTGGAAGGCCTCAGGTCTGGCAGCACCAAAACCAAAACCTTCCTGGAAACCAAGTTTGTGTTACTTGGTAAAGCCCTATGCGGGATAAACGCACCCTGGTTTGGCCATTTTCCTTGGAAACATTATCAGTTTGCCCAGGATCAAAGTAAAGGAGCTGAAATCCTGGCAAACGGCAGTCTAGGAATCACTGGGTTTGAAATTCCAAAACTGCTCACATCCTTGCTGCCCTGCCACGGCTCAGGCTCTAATAGATCTCTCTCTGCTGCCAAATTCTGCTGAGGGCGCCAGACTTGCAACACGAAAACAGAACGCAACGAGGGAGAAAACAACCTGTCCCCTCATCCCAGTTAAGGGACATCATTAGCTGTCCCACAGGTATTTCACAAACCCTGGGTCAGACCCATCACCCCTGGGCTTCCTCCTCCAAATGTAATTCTACAGTTATTTCCATTCTCCCCTTGTTCTCAGAATCCCAAAGGGTGAGTGAGAGAGCAGCTAACTGCTGCTCTACTCAAGCACTATAAACACTATAGTGCACAGGCTATGCTGGCTCTTATTTTGAAACTGTGTGCTATCCTCTTATTAGAACAAGAAGACAGGAGAAATATTGCTCTTTTAAAAAATAGTTGTGGCAGGAGAGGGGAGGGGGATGGGAGGGATGGGAGGGATCACTTCTGAGGTTTATCTTACAAGGGTACAAGTGAATCTTTCTAAGAGTAGAATGTGAATGTTTTAAAACAATAACTAAGAAAATGACATGAAGGCTATGTTAACCAGTTTGATGGAAGTGTTTCGGATTGTGTGTGAAAACCCCACACTGTACCCCAGAAGTGCATTAATGTACATAGTTACCATTCAATTAAAAAAAATATATAGTTGTGGCTCAAGTGGCTAAGGCGCCAGCCACGTACACCCAAGGTGGCGGGTTCAAATCCAGCCGGGGCCCGCCAAACAACAATGACGGCTGCAACCAAAAAATAGCCAGGCGTTGTGGTGGGTGCCTTTGGTCCCAGCTACTTAGGAGGCTGAGGCAGGAGACTCGCTTGAGCCCAGGAGTTGGAGGTTGCTGTGAGCTGTGATGCCACAGCACTCTACCCAGGGGGATAGCTTGAGGCTCTATCTCAAAAAAAAAAAAAAAGAAAGAAATAGTTGTAACTACTTTTTGTCACAATATATCACTAAGGTTTTCCAGCAAACAACTAAGATAAACACTAAATTACAATGAGAGAAATACAGTTTCATGTATAAATCACTCAAAGTTTATTCAAATTTTTATGCAAAAGGATTTATTAGCATTAGTGCCATTCATGAAATATTTCTCATCACTACAACATAGAAGGAAGGAAAATATTAGCTTATCTTATATGTTGCAAAGGAACGACAACTCAGCAAGTTTTAGAAAACAGCACACAGGATGGGGTAACAGGAGCGGTTCCAGGCTCCTGCATGCACCCAATGACACTACACTGCAGGCCAGCAGCCTGGTTGCACCCAGGATTAGCGCACAGACCTGCACAGCTTGAGGCACAGTCCAGCAGTGATGCAGAAAGAAAAGGGAATGTGCTTGAGTTTGGAACTGGTCATTGTGAGACGCCTTCAGTAGGGTGGTTTCTTGCCTGGACCCAAGTCCTACCCATCAGGCAGCATCAGTGCCCCAGGGCAGCAGTGCTCAACACACTGGCCACTTCCCAGAACACCAGATCCCCTGCCCACACACTGTGAGCTTTCTCATGCTTTCTGCACCTGTGCAGCAGCCACGTGAGTCAGTACCACTCACCTTCACAGGTCTGTCTGTCTGGCCACACCTCTAGTGCTGCTCCATCTAGCTCTGAAGTCTAATAAAGTGTACAACTTTAGAAACACAAAACCTTTCCTCTGAGATGTTACCTGGTTTACAGGGCTTGGAAATAAGCATTTAAGTTGGTCTTAAGCCCCTCTAGCCACGTAAAAAGCACAGAAGAGTTCAGGGTGAGGACCCTGCAGGGACAGCAGGACCACTGCACCCTGGGGGACCTGGTACACCTGGTCTCAGGCCCTAGCACACTCCAGGTAGGCCCCAACCCCTCCCACCCCCCACCCCAGGAGGAAGGCAGCCTCACTTGACAAGATTCCTCATGATACTCAGGGAGGACCCTCTATACCCTGATCCAAAATGGTTCCAGTGGTTCAGGTAGTGAAAGAGCTTATATAGCTGAAGGCGTTTTTCGAATCCTGGTGCCTTGGGTACTTTGCTGTGGTAGGCATTATAAAAAGCACTGCTGAAGCCCCCAAACATGCCGGCTATTGCCAGTTCATACTCAGAGTGGCCATAGAACGAAGCTGGATCAAAAATGACAGGCCCAGAGGAGTCCTCCGCTACGTTTCCTCCCCAAAGGTCTCCATGGAGTAAGGCGGGGACAATCTGCAGACCCTGGAACAGGTCAGGGATCTTCAGCTGCAGGGTGGGAAATGGACCTTAGCAAAGTGACCAAGCATCACAAGGGTGCAGTCTCTCCAAGTCCTGCTCCAGCTGCCTGCACTCTGACACACAGGGCATGAGGATGGGACACTATAACACGTTCAGAACCAGACTCTGAGTTGGCCCGGCCTAGGTGCTTCCCCCATACCAGAGCCGAGTGGGACATGCTATAGGCACTGGGTACACGGGCCCGGCTCACCTGCAGAGCAGACCAAAGCTCCAGGGCCTCCCTGTCCCCTGACTCCTTCTCTACCATGTTCATCTGGGGCTGAATGCGCTGCTGGGCATAGAAGACAACCCAGTCCGTCTGCCAGTCGTTCACCTGCACAGGGGACACCGAAGGGAAGGCAGGGTTGCCTAGAGACTCCAGAACCAAAGGAGGCTCAAATGCCTACAGGGTTTAAGAGTGCAAAAGGGCTGAAGGGACAGAGTGGGAAGGGGCAGTGGTCACAGGAGGCTAAAGAGGCTGAGGGACGTCCAGGCAGCACAGAGCCACTTGGATACCCTAAGACACAAGTACCATCCCCGAAGAACTGGAGGCAGGGGCGTTCCAGAATGGCTCTGTGGGATGCAGAATTAAACATTTCTTTTTTTTTTTTTTGTAGTTTTTTTTTGGCCTGGGCTGGGTTATGAACACACCACCTCCAGTATATGGGGTCAGTGCCCTAGTCCTCTGAGCCACAGGCGCTGCCCCCAACATTTCTTATAATTTGTATTCACACCATTCACAGAGGCCAGGGCTAGTTGGACTTCCTGACCTCACATGCATTGCTGACTAGGAGCAACCCCTCTCCAGAGTGATGATGTGGGATGTCATGTTGGGCCCTGTTCAAAAGGGCCCTGGGAGGGGACATCCCAGCCACAGGTGTGGACTACCCAGGAGGAAAGCCAGACAAACACACAAGAGCAGAGCAAGAAGCGATGTCAGGACACATAGTGTCACAGACACACGCACACACCATGGGGACAGGCAAGAGAAGGGATGCAGCAGGCAGGACCAGAGGGTGACTCATGGCCCCAGGAAGTTTTCTAGACAACTTCCCACAATACTTCAAAATCTGAGTTGTGTAGACTGCCACCATGCCCACCAAAACACCCTGAGGATTTCCCAGATTTACCAGTATCCCCTCCTGAGGACCCCAGCTGACCTTCCTCTGGGCGCAGAACTGCCACCCCATCCAATCCACATCTGCTGGGCATAAAGCAGAATCCCCAGACTGAAATTCCAGGGGAGCTGACCACAGAATCATTACACTGAAAGTTACAGCCCCTTGTCATTATGCTGTCTTTGAGAGTTTAGCATGTTAAAAAAAAAAAAAAAAAAAACTTCTAAAAGTTTTCTAATTTTGCCTACCTTGAAGCCAGCATTCCATTTGCTGGTCCTTCTGTTTCTCCATGCTTCCCTAGCACAGGGGAGGGTAAAGCTCACACCAACTTCTTAAAAGTCACCAGAGAGAAAGGGGTGCAATGACTTAATAAATCTCACAGTAAAGGAAAAGGGTGTCTTTCCTCCACTGTCTGGACAGCTGACCTGACAGCAAAGTAGAAGCAGATGTTGTGCCACTCACCTGGGGCAGGTATCCACAGCACGTCACCACATCAAACCCAAACTGGTCCACAAAGGGCTGGTCTGTCTGTGCACTTCCTTTCCCTTGCAAGAAGAAGGGAAACAAGAAAGACAACTAATGGCTTGGCACCTATAGCACAGACAGTGGTTATGGCGCCAGCCACATACGCTGAGGACAGCAGGTTCGAACCTAGCCCGGGCCAGCTAAACAACTGCAACAAAAAAATAGCCAGGCATTATGGTGGAAGCCTATAGTCCCAGCTACTTGGGAGGCTGAGGCAAGAGAATCACTTAAGCCCAAGAGTTTGAGGTAGCTGTGAGCTATGATGCCATGGCACTCTACCAAAGGCGATATAATGAGATTCTGTCTAAATAAAAAAAAAAAAGAAAGAAAGAAAGACAACTCATTACTCCCCCTACAAAGACATCACGGGCACCCTGACCTGACCTCAGCATGCCTCACCACACTGCTTCCTCACAGGCCCTTCCTAAGTAGGGCTTTGGTCTCTGAGGACCCTCAGAATCCCTGGAGCACAGTGTCTTCCAACAGACACTGTCCTTGTTAGTGTGGTGGTGAGTAAAACAAACAAAAGAGAGGACACCAGGCCAGGCGTAGTAGCTCATGTCTGTAATCCTACTACTCTGGGAGGCAAAGGCGGGTGGACTGCCTGAGCTCACAGGTTCGAGACCAACCTGAGACCCCAGAGCAAGACCCCATCTCTAAAAATAGCTGGGCACCTGTAGTCCCAGCTACTAGGAAAGCTGAGGCAAGAGAATCACTTGAGCCTAAAAGTTTGAGGTTGCTATGAGCTGTGACACCATAGCACTGTACTGAGGGTGACAAAGTGAGGTTCTGTGTCAAAAAAAAGAAAGAAAAAAGAGGCCAGATGCAGTGGCTTATGCCTGTAATTCTTGCACTCTTGGAGGCTGAAGCAGGTGGATTGCTTGAGCTCATGAGTTCAAGACCAGATTGAGCAAAAAATGAAACCCCTTATCTACTAAAAATAGAAAAATTGAGGCAAGAGGATTGCTTGAGCCCAAGAGTTAGAGGTTGCTGTGAGTTATGACGACACAGCACTCTACCCAGAGCAACAGCTTGAGACTCTGTCTCAAAA